GTTTGTCTAGAGTTAAAATACGAAAACTAATGTTAGAATTAGTTATAATTAATGTATTTATTGAAAAAGTAATTACTTCTTGTTTCAAAAATAATTTTAATACGTAACTTAATTATTAACTAAGAGAAACTTGAAAATTTTCACAAAAGTACAATGATATTATTGAAATTAATGTCCTAAAACTTTATTTGTAGAGATCCTTATTTTTTAGTAAGAATTTAACTTTACTTCTTATAAAAATGACAAAATTACCCTTCATCTTTTAGTGATATTTATAAAAATACCCTTACTTAATGAACAAGATATCACAAAAAGTACCTTTTTTTTTTAAAAAAGACATCTCATATTTAGTAAATCCACCATTTACAATTCACTATAATATTAACCTTTATAATTTGAAGGGCTGCACTTGTGAATTGTAGATTATCCCATATGTATAAGGATTTACAAAAATTCCCATGAAATGACTTATGCTGCCTCGACTCATTTATGTGTGCTTATTATATTTTAATTAACATCACATTCCAAATAAGGCCTAATTTGCAGCATTCTAATTTAAATTTGACAGTGCCGATGTATACACGGCTCCAAACGTCTAAGAATATGGACAAACTATGCAGTGTACCTAGATGCAATCCCACCCTAATAAATCATCTAGTCATTTCTTGATTTGTGTGTGTCATCCCGCACAATTTCTCGAAGCCATGCGCCCATGGTACACGTGCCATGCGTGTGCTACATATAGCATCCGTGCCATGCACACGTGTTATGTTATCCTACGCAATATCTAGAAGAATGCCATGGGCGTGCCACACATTCATGGTTCATTTCAATGATGGTAAGGTAAATGTGGACCCTAGTGTCCACGCATCCTCTGTCCATTCTGAAATCTGTGGAACTCATGGCCACCAACATGAACAACCTTATCCCTATTCCTTATAAATTTCCAATCCTTATTTCAACCATTTACCATGAAAGTTTGATAGCATTTTACGGGGGCCAGACACCAATTCACAAAAAGAGAAACCATTAGAGAAATATAAATAGAAAGAAACAAGGTGAAATCATCCATGAAAAATTCATAGTCTAAAAATTAAAATGTAACTACAAAACCATAGAAAAGTTAATAAACTAATTAGATACATGCATTACTATATTTTAAAAAATAGATTGGTGGGGTGAAATATCGATAATTGAGATGTAAAATGCAGAGATAGAGAAAAGAACAAACTGAGAAGAAATATAAACGTGGAGTGAACAAGAAAGCAAACAGCGTACCACTGTTCTCACCCCAGTAGCGTTTCCGTTTCTTGGCCCATTCGGCAACGGTATTGCAATCCTCACTGTCAGATTCTTTATCCGGCGGCTCTGCCATTATCTCAATCCTCAAGATCCTATCAGAAAAGTTGCTGTCATTGAAAGCAAAGGAAAAATCTGGCGAACTAGGATGCTTAGAATCCATTGAGGCGTACTGCTTCATTATCATTTCTTTCATTTTCTGCTTATAATTCCAAAAAATATCGCTGATTCAATATGATTCTTCACTAAACAAAACCCAAGTTTCCTCAATGAATCAAAAACCCTAATTTTCGTATATACTCAGTTGCTAAGAAGCTGAGAACCCAATTTTCTCTGTAATATGAAGAGGCTAAAGAACCCGAAACCTTAATTTTACTGTTACACAGTACTCAGTAGTTGACACTTTACACTAAGACTCTGAAGCAAAGGCATGCAAAATCCAAATTTATATATAGGAAACTTTCTCTCCAAGATTGCGTGTCGCTATTGTTAGAAAATATGTCTGTCAAATTTGGCCAGAATTAGAGGTACAGCTACTTTTAGTGAAGATTCTCAAAAAAATTTGGGCAAACCTATTGTTAGAGTGGATTTAAATCTTTTGGTTAAAAATGGAGGAAGAACCTAGTGATAAGAAATCTGTATATTTGGGGTTTCGGACCAATTTCTTGAGCGTGCAGAGTTTTCTCGTGTTGGTTTTTTATGGGTTCATGGCACTGTTTTAGGGACCACTCCCCGTTTTAACCTCCCCCCCTCCCCTTTCTCCCCTCTTTAGGTGTTTTCCGTAACTGACTCACTATTTTTCTTAATTCATTGCACATCATTTTCTTTCTTATTTGGAAAGCATCTTTTTGGGTTTTACGTTTTGGATTCAGAAAGCGGATTCATTGTACTGCATATCTTTCTAGAAGATAAATCTTTCTAGAATATAAATCTTTTTCTATCTTTATATGTCTAAATGGTACAGTTTGTATGAGGTGTCAACCTTATATAATCAAAGTAAGGCGCGATGGTAATTCATATAAGGTAAAATTGTTTCATTAATTTTACCATCACCAAAGAAAAAATAGAATGAGAAGAAGTGTGTCTGTTAATCTAGATGGAATGTTGATCTTGATTTAGGTTAATTTACATTTTGTATTTCATAAAAAAAAATAGATTGTGACAATTGAAGAAGTAGATTGTGAAGATCAATTTAAATTAGATGAAAACATAGATTGTGAAGATCAACCTTCTGTCATTGTAAAATTGTCTTTACAATCTATTTCTTATGCCTTTGTAGAATGTAAAAATTCAATATTATAAAAAAATGTGAAGATTCAATCTTCAATAGATTGAAGATTGATCCTTTGTAGATTAACAGACAATTTTACAATTTTCAATTGATTTATTCAATTGAAGATTGTAAATTTTATAATCTACAGAAATTGAAGATTGTAAAACTGTTTTGCAATGCAAATAACGCAATTTTTTTACAATTTTTACAATTTTTTTAATTGTTTTTAAATATTTTAAAAGATTGTATTGTAAAATTTTTAAGAGATTTTATTTGTAAATCTTGTATTGACAAAATTTTACAATTGTAAAATTTTAAAAGATTTGTAAAATCTTTTAAAAATCTTAAAAGATTTTAATATTTTTGTAAATGAATATTTTTGTATCTCAATAGTTAAATCTTTTACAATTGTAAAAGAATTAACAATTTACAATTTTAATCAACATTTGTAAAAATCTTTTAAAGTATTCAATTTTTATATCAATCTTTTAATCTACAATTGTAAAAGAATTTTTTATAATATTCAATTGATTAAAAGACTTTTACAATTGTAAAAGAATTAGCTCTAGGTATTTTACAATTGTAAAAGAATTGATTAAAAGACTTTTTCAAAAGAATTGTAAAAGAATTAGATCCAGGTATTTTAATTGATTAAAAGAATTGAAAAAGTCGTTTGAGTAGTTGAAAAAGTATTTTAATTGTAAAAGTCT